ATGTGTAGGCTACTTTATTAAAATAGAAAGTTGATCTACAGGAGGAACATATTTGAAAGCAATATCTACACAATGCCTGAAAGCCTTACTGCATTATATCCTATGCATTTTTTATATTTTGAATTGTCATCTGCGGCCTGAATATTGTTTTTCCTTTTATATAGATAAAGACATTTCCATTATAAATGGGTGCAGACATTTTCACCAGAATCCAGGAAATGAAATCTTTAATGTTTAAAATTTTTCCCCAGATCCTGCTCTTCATTTGTCCCCTCCACTGTTTAAACTAAGCCGATGCTCTTGCATTTCAGGAAAATTACCCCATTAATTTATTACAATGCAAGAAAATAGTATCTGGGGTGAACACATTCCCAGATCCCAAGTTAGGTTAGGTCTCCCAATTTAGGCTGTGATGTGGAGGTAATTTCAAATCTCGCCTAGGGATCCAACACAACAACCCTGAATGAGCCACAGGAGTCAGGTGTGCTGATCAGCAATTGCCAGCAGCTGTGAGGAGAGTGCCAAACCACAGGGAGGCAGTCCCACAACTCCACCCAGAAGAAGAGGGAGAGAGAGAGAAAGCCCGAAGAACACAAACAGGCAGACATACAGGTGCTGGTCATATAATTAGAATATCATCAAGAAGTTGATTTATTTCAGTAATTCCATTCAAAAAGTGAAATTTGTATAGTGTATACATTCATTCCACACAGACTGATATTTCAAGTGTTCATTCCTTTAAATTTTGATGATTATAACTGACAACTAATGAAAACCCCAAAATCAGTATCTCAGAAAATTAGAATATTGTGAAAAGGTTCAATATTGAAGACACCTGGTGCCACACTCTAATCAGCTAATTAACTCAAAACACCTGCAAAGGCCTTTAAATGGTCTCTCAGTCTAGTTCTGTAGGCTACACAATCATGGGAAAGACTGCTGACTTGACAGCTGTCCAAAAGACGACCATTGACACCTTACACAAGGAGGGCAAGACACAAAAGGTCATTGCTGAAGAGGCTGGCTGTTCACAGAGCTCTGTGTCCAAGCACATTAATAGAGAGGCGAAGGGAAGGAAAAGATTTTATAGTATAACTAAGCAATAGTATAGTATCCCTATTGCTTAGTTTATAAGCAGTAGGGATAACCGCACCCTGGAGAGGATTGTGAAACAAGCCATTCAAAAATGTGGGGGAGATTCACAAAGAGTGGACTGCAGCTGGAGTCAGTGCTTCAAGAACCACCACGCACAGACGTATGCAAGACATGGGTTTCAGCTGTCGCATTCCTTGTGTCAAGCCACTCTTGAACAAGACACAGCGTCAGAAGCGTCTCGCCTGGGCTAAAGACAAAAAGGACTGGACTGCTGCTGAGTGGTCCAAAGTTATGTTCTCTGATGAAAGTAAATTTTGCATTTCCTTTGAAATCAAGGTCCCAGAGTCTGGAGGAAGAGAGGAGAGGCACAGAATCCACGTTGCTTGAAGTCCAGTGTAAAGTTTCCACAGTCAGTGATGGTTTGGGGTGCCATGTCATCTGCTGGTGTTGGTCCACTGTGTTTTCTGAGGTCCAAGGTCAACGCAGCCGTCTACCAGGAAGTTTTAGAGCACTTCATGCTTCCTGCTGCTGACCAACTTTATGGAGATGCAGATTTCATTTTCCAACAGGACTTGGCACCTGCACACAGTGCCAAAGCTACCAGTACCTGGTTTAAGGACCGTGGTATCCCTGTTCTTAATTGGCCAGCAAACTTGCCTGACCTTAACCCTATAGAAAATCTATGGGGTATTGTGAAGAGGAAGATGCGATACGCCAGACCCAACAATGCAGAAGAGCTGAAGGCCACTATCAGAGCAACCTGGGCTCTCATAACACCTGAGCAGTGCCACAGACTGATCGACTCCATGCCACGCCGCATTGCTGCAGTAATTCAGGCAAAAGGAGCCCCAACTAAGTATTGAGTGCTGTACATGTTCATACTTTTACTGTTCATACTTTTCAGTTGGCCAACATTTCTAAATCCTTTTTTTTGCATTGGCCTTAAGTAATATTCTAGTTTTCGGAGATACTGAATTTGGGATTTTCATTAGTTGTCAGTTTTAATCATCACAATTAAATGAAATAAACATTTGAAATATATCACTCTGTGTGTAATGAGTGAATATAATATCCAAGTTTTACTTTTTTAATGGAATTACTGAAATAAATCAACTTTTTGATGATATTCTAATTATATGACCAGCACCTGTAAACAAAAACCCACCAAACATCTCACTCATTAAAAAAGAGAAATAAAAAAATCAAAACACAGGAGAAATAAAAAAATCAAAACACAGGATGTGACTCCCTCGTTTGTGGATTCTTGACAATCACAGGGAGGCATGTCATCCACGGGGTCTAACTGCTCTTTCCTCTACATTCACTGTGTTTTGCTGTTCATCCTGAGGGGTAAGCAGGTGCTTTGAGAGACCTCCCGTTACATTCTGCTGAACAACGTGCTCCTTGTAGACACTGCTCACCTGGTGTTAAACCTTCGGCTTTACTGACTGGCTTCTTTGCAGATTACAAACTGCATTTTATGAATGTGTTGGTCTTGTTCTGCTCTCAATTTTCATGGCCACGATCTCCCCTTCCACTCTGGCTGTGATGTATTCTATCCACTGAGGCGTGCTGCCATATTCACTGTGACAAGCATGGCCATTTCTCTGGTGTGGGCCGTGAGTTTTATTCACATTCTTGTTTGAGGTTTTAGGCTGTTGTATTTGTTTACCCCTAAATCTCCATATGAATTACTTTTACTGTCATTTTTTCATACCGATGTTTAATGCTTTGAAGGAGCATATGTCCCCACTCTTCTAAGCTAAATGGGAAACTAAATAACTAAACTCCATAATGACTTGCCTATTTATAGACTAGATTTAAAGGTTCAGTGTGTAAGATTTAGTGGGATCTAGTGGCAATGGTTGTGAATTGCAACCATCTGTCCAGTCTACCACTGCCCCCTAAGCTTTCAAAGAGCGTAGGACAGCTACGGTGGCTGGCACAGCACAAAAGGTATCTCTTCTGGGAGTAGCCAGTCAAGAAATGACTGGTATACTAGGTATATTTATCAAGAAATTATATTTACTTAATTATTCAGTAAAACAATTATTGTGACTTGACCACGGACAGACAACATGGAAAATGTAAGCCAAGAGTGTGAAACTGTCAGGGTTTGGTGAGCACAAAGCAAGAGAGAGCCCAAAGGCACAAAACCAAGAACCCACCCAACAAAACAAAAGTCCAAGACCCAGCAGAGGAAAACTGTAGGAGGGCAAGTTAAACTGGGGCAGGTGGAGGGAGGACAGGAGGAGGGCCAGAAAAACAAAAAGCAGACAGTCCAGGGGGCAGACAGGGAGCACTCTGGTTGGCGGCCTGAGAACAGAGGGGGGGCGTAAAGTTCAGGGGGACGACCCAACAGGCAGAGTAGGGCGAGGGAACAAAACAGTTCAGGTGGACGACATGGAGGTCGACCAAACGGGCAGATCAGGGCCAGGGAACAGGGCAGGTAAGGTGCTTGGCCTAACATGTAGAGCAGGGCAGAGGGGCAGAACAGTTCAGGAGGCAAACCGAGCAGGCCAGGCCGGTCAGGAGCACAAAACAGTTGAGGAGGCCGGGCAGAACAGGGAGACAGAACAGTTCAGTCTCTCCTGAGGCCAGCCGCGAAGGCGGAATCTTTCTGGAGGCCGACAACCATGCGAATACTCTCTTGAAGTTGGCGGTGAAGGCGGAATCTCTCTGGAGGCCGTGCTGGACAGATGACCAGCAGTAAAGCACTGACACACAGAACCAGAGACTGGGCTGCGGGGCTGAGGTCCGACGACAGGAAACGAAGAGCTGGCGTAGGCCGTATCTGGGGGTGGGCTTGAGGAGCTGGAGTTGGTCTGACCACCAAAGGGACAGCAGGCTGGAGGCCGTGGACAAGGCACGTGGAGCCCAGGACTACCCCTCCACCCCAAACAGTGCCATTTGTCCACTGTTCCATGGCCAGGCCAGAATCCAGGTTGCTCCTCCTGAATCTGAGGTTCAAAAATGGGTCAGGGTCCTTTCCAGCACCCTGGAATAAACTTCCCCAGGGAGGCTGAGCTATTTTAGCAACTTGCCTCTGACACCATGACCCTTAACCTTAAAGTGCCTTGTTTCTGTCTGCCTTTACTTGTAGACCTCAGTGGAAAAAATGTACTTCCATGATTCTGAAAAGCATCAGCTATACACGTAATGTAAAATGTCCCGGCACAGGTACTGCCACAGGAATGATTTGCTGTTGTGTCCAAGGGAATTCATTAACACGAATCCTATACCAGCTATTTACAGGCCAAAAAAATATTCAAAGTGCCTGGATTGTCAACACCTAAGAAAGGTTGCGGGCCTTACATGAATCCCTGTTAGTTTGACTTATTTCTCGCAGTGTCTCATTCATTGACTGGATGATGGACAGAAGAAAAATGGATAAAACGTTGTGTTACATCTGCCCAGCATGTAGTGTCTAATATAATGTAGGTCCTGCACAGACGCCTTTAAGATGTGCAGCTTTATTTACTACAACAATAGTTTGAATGCTTATTTCATTTATCACTCAAATACTTAATTTAAAGAATGTTCCTGTGCTTCAGGCCCATGCCAGTCATTAATAAACCTAAACATTATTAACAAGTACTTTGTGTTTCTCTTAAGACTTGACCAACTATACCTCCAGTGATTAATCCCTGTCCATTACATCTTACACATGTTGACGGTGCTGACAAGTGATGACGTCACATGGAGGAGGTCTGAAGACAGAGCTCATAAACAATATGTGAGGACAGGCAAACCCTGCAGACCAGCGCTGCCCACATGGAAACAAGACTCCACTCTGTTATCTGTCTGCACAGGGAAAAAGAAAGCCGAAGACTTTGGGTTTATGGTAACTCAGTAGTCATGTTGACAGTGTTAAGGATAAAAACTGGACAAAATAAGTTTGTTTTGTGATCCAATTTTAATCAATAGGTTTACATTTCTGATGTTGTTAATGTTTCTTTAATATGTCCTACTCAAATCAATCACAGACAAACATCACTGTTGAACTGCAGTATCAGGGGTTTCTGGAAATAGTGTTCTTTACCATTCTGACTACAGTGACATGTTGTGTGTTTCTCTTCATTAATGTGACCTTGTTATTCACCTTGAGGAGTAAACCAGTGTTTTGTGAGACCTCTCGTTACATTCTGCTGTTTAACCTCCTTCTTGCAGACACAGTCCAGATGGCAGAGGGTCAGTTAATGTACATAATCGCTGCTTGTAAAATAACAATGACATATCCTTTGTGTGGCTTTCTCAACATGCTTGGTTATCTCACAAATGAAATCTCTCCTCTCACACTGGTGGTGATGTGTCTGGAGAGATTTGTAGCTGTGTGTTACCCACTGAGGCACGCTGCCATCATCACCGTCAGAAACACAGGGGTGGCTGTTTGTGTTGTTTGGGCCTTCAGTTCACTCAGTGTTTTTATCCAAGTTCTTCTAATGTTAAAATTTCCATTTGCAGAGCTGGAGAGTCTGCAGATGAATGATTTTTGTGGCAAAGACCATATGATGCTTGATCCAGTAGCTGCTGATTTTGAGAAAGTCTACACTTGTTTTCTGTTTGTATTAGCTGGTGTAGTAACCATTTCCTCCTATATTGGTGTGATGATAGCAGCCAGGTCGGCCTCCACAGACAAAGCTTCAGCCCGTAAGGCTCGTAACACACTGCTGCTGCATCTGGTGCAGCTGGGCCTCAGTCTCTCCTCAACTCTATACAATCCATTGCTTATCGTTATCTTTGAAAACCTCGACAGGCTCATGTTTTTGCGCATCCAGAATATTATTTACATTTGTACAATCATGTTTCCCAGATGTCTGAGTGCTCTCATCTATGGTCTCAGAGACCAGACCATCAGACCCGTCCTCATGTACAATCTCTGCTGTCAGAGATTCTCACCTTTGCTCTCAGTCTTCCAAACCAAAGCTAAAATCAGCAAACTTGTCACTTAATTGATGGAATTTCTTAACATATCTCATTTAATTCAACTTAACAGAGAATGTAGAATGTTTTTTAAAAAAAGGCCAAGAGAGATTTGCTGATGCTCTTCATGATTTTTTGTATATAAATATCCACTTACAGTACTGTACCCTCTTTTCCTGATTGTGTATGTTCACCAAATACTTAATTATTACTTAAAATGAGTGCAGACTATAAAATGTATGTATCACACTGTTAGCATATAAAGAAGTATTTCAAGTTGATAGAATTTTTTATCCTTCAAGGAGTCATCTCATAAGACAATATGTATTTATATATTATCATCTATATGTAAGTATAGTTGCTAAATACATTGCTAAAGTCATCTTAGTCAAACTTATGTGGCTGTGCAGTTGCTAAAACATATGGCTTAATCACCATTATAATACTGTTGTGTCATCATCATTTGTCATCATTACCACTAGCAGTAAAGTAGAACTTTAGAGGTATGTGGGCAAGATGTGAACTGTTTTCAAATGTCAAAAGGAAGTCATTTGTGTAGTGCTCTGTGAAAAGGCAGGAACCCGGACATGCACTAGTTGTGGAATATACATGATGACGCACAACAGAAAACATTAAATCACAGAATACTTGACTTGCTTTACAAGAGTGGAGACATTAGGACAGAAAAGGACATGTCTGCATGGATGCAGTAATGTTATGTCCTATCTGTTTCCTTATATAATAATTATAATATTTATAATAATAATAATAATAATAGTATTTTTATAATCTTGCTTTTCAAAAACCATGTTACAAAGTGCTTTCACAAGTGCAAAGATAATAAAACACAACAGATGACAAGATACTCGATTAAAGCAAGAAAACACTTGTCTTAAGGCGGGACTTAAGAGTTCGCTGCCTCAGCCGACCTGATTTCCTCAGGCAGGCTGTTCCAGAGCCTCGGGGCCCTGACAGCAAACTGTCCCCTTTAGTTTTTAGAGACTCTAGAACAGACAGCAGACCTCTGCCCAAAGATCTCAAGCTTTGTGCTGTTACGTATGGGACTAAAAGGTCAGAAATATAACAAGGCGAGAGGCCATGAAGAGCTTTAAAAGTAATCAATTCTAAAACATACTGGGAGCCAGTGTAATGAAGCTAAAACAGGGGTGATGTGATCATATTTCTTCGTTCTGGTTAAAAGCCTGGCAGCTGAGTTCTGGACAGTCTGGAGTTGATCAACATATTTTGGGTCAAGCAAGTGAAAAGACTGTTGCAGTAATCCAGGCGTGAGATTTAGGCGTGTAACCTGGTCTCATGTCTTTCTTTTCAAGTGACTGTATTTCTGTCAGAGGTAACACGTGTGTTGGCAATGAAGCCGAAAAAAACAGATACAAAAACAAAAGTGTTGTTCGGTATACGTTCAACTGGACCCAAAAGCACGACAGAGACAGATAACCGTTCTCAGTATCAAATGGGGTTTATTGTAGGAAACAAACTAATTCAGTTCACAAGGGGCGAGGGAGATGATCCAGACAGGGAAAAAACAGAGTGGTGTGGTTTGGCTGAAGCGGTGAGTGGAGAGCAGGTGGTACACAGGGGTCAGTCGACGCAAGGAAAAGTCACAAAGTAGGTTTTCTACAAAATAGCAGGCCAAGGTGTGTACCACTAGAGATACACAGATGATCTGGCAAATACTGGTGTGCTGATAGGGGGCGGTTCATTAGAAACGAGATGCAGGTGTGCAGAGACATAGAGTGCAGGAGCCAGGGAGGAGAGCCACGCCCACCTGCAAACCAAGCATACTCACAGGGGAAAACAGACAGACAGGCACAATAAGGGGGGGGGGCAGAGAACAAAAGGTAAACAGAAGAGAGGGACCACCGGATATAATAGTACCCTCCAATCAATGAGAGCCTCCAGGCTCCCCGTCAGTCGTGATGAAAGTCCCGAATGAGCTGATCCTCCAGGATGAAGGACCGGGGGGCCCACAAGAAACGTGAAAAGTGTGGTGGGTTCTCATGTTCCTGGGAAGTCTTAAAGAGGTGGCATTATGCTTTTTGCCTTTTCCCCTCTCCTTTATTGAGTTACATATCTTTTTTGTGCACGTAACAGGTTTGCAAAGTGAAAAAGCCCAAAGTCCAGCCCAAAGGGAGTTCCCATCTCCCACAGAAAGCTCTGCTCTGAACCGCTTGAAAACAGCTCATTTGTAGTCCAGCCCTTCACTTCCTTTACTTGTGACGTCACAATTAAAAACACGTCATAAAGTTTGCCAAGCGGCTAGGGGGTCAGACACACCATCAAACCAAGCTAGTCTGAGCGGAGGCCCTTTGGCTCGACTCGCCTTTGTTTGGTTTTCCATTGTAGAAATGTTGCAACTGAGATGAGGGATACTAAAACGTAACATGAAAACACAGACACAGAGAATATTCACTATTCACTGCATCATCATTGCGTGCGCCAGACAGAGGCTAGCAACAGGTTTTATATTTTTACAGTTTTCGTATGGAATTTCCTCACTAAATCCAATTCTGAGAAGTTTTGAGGTGAGAAATCAGCTGTGTAGATTTCGAATATTGACAGTTTTACGAGAAGTAATGGCAGAACAAAAATGTGCTCGAATATTGTCGGAGTTGAGGAGCTCCGCAAGTGAACACGGCTGGAAGGTTTTCATACCGCTTATCTGTCTTTACATTCTGAGGAATGTTGAAATGTTTTAACTTCAAAAAAGAAAAGCTGTGTGGATCGCTGGTGTGTGTGTTTGAACATTACGTCGTGGCAGTTGTGTGTGGCGTTGCTGTGACGACAAACTACGATTTGACAGTTGGACGGCCCTAACCCCTCATGGACTTCCCGGTAATGCGCCTCAAAGTCTGTGAGTCTGTGAGGGGGGACATTAGGATTGGGCCTATGACATGGTGAGTAGTTGGGGGCTGGAATCCGGCGTCAGTTTGCAATCCGTTGGTTGTTGGTGGTGGTGTGCGCGGCATGAGCAGTTGTCCAGATCCTCCGGCAACAGCGCAGGTGGCTGTGCACCGACAGGACTGCCGTTTCTGTTTCTTGGCTGGGGAACAAGGGTGGTTGATTGCTTAGAATGGGGAAAGACCTGGATGCAGAGGACAGAGTTATATTCGACCCTAGCCAGATGGGTGCTCCAGGTAGTGGGATCTGGGCTGTCACGCACCGCAGTGTGGCCTCCAGGTCCTGGTTCGCCCTCTGAAACTGCCCATTAGTCTACGGGTGAAAACTAGACAAACTTACAGAAGCTCCAATAGCCTAACAAAATGTTTTCCATACCTGAGACAGTGGACCATGGTCAGAGACGATGTCAACAGGCAGACCGTGAAGGCGGAACGCATGCTGGACCATGAGGTCAACAGTCTCTCGGGTAGAGGGGAGCTTGGGGAGAGTGACGGCCAGGGACAGGCAGGGGATGCAGGAATGGAGCTTCTGGTCCAAACCTGCGTGCTGGGAGAGGACTGCCCCAACTCCCGTGTCGGAGGTGATGAACTGGCAGATAGTGTCGGGCTGCACCAGAATGGGCGCCGTGGAGAACAGCTGCTTTAGCTGTGCAAACACCTGGTTAGCCTCTGGAGTCCAGGTGAATGGTGTGGAGGATGAGGTAAGTGGAGAGCGGGGGGCTGCAACACGGCTGAAGTTCCTGATGAAACGGCGATAAAAGTTAGCAAAACCCAGAAATCATTGTAATTGCTTCCTATTAGTAGGTTGATGCCAATTCACCACCACCTCGACCGTAGCTGGATCTGTCTTCACCTGCCCACCTTGAATGATATATCCAAGGACACTCACCGTGCTGGCATCAAACTCCGCTCCTCCACTTTAACATAGAGCTTATCTTCCAAAAGTCTTTGTAGCACCTGGCATACATGAGAGACATGATCTGGCAAGTTTTTAGAAAAGATCAGGATGTCGTCTAAATAGGCTAACACAAAATGGTTAATGTAGTCACGGAGAACATCGTTAACTAGAGCATGAAATACTGCTTGTGCATTTCTAAGTCCAAAAGGCACTACCACATATTCAAAGTGGCCTAATAGGGGTATTGAAGGCCATCTACCACTCGTACCCTGACTTGATCCGCACAAGATGGTAAGCGTTCTGGAGATCCACCTTGGTGAAGATAGTTGCACCCTGGAGAAGCTCAAAAGCAGAAGAGATAGAGGTAGAGGATATTTATTCTTGACAGAGATTTCATTGAGACCCCAGTAATCAATGCAGGGATGGAGAGTTTTATCTTTCTTTGCCACAAAAAAGAAACCAGCTCCCACCTGGGGAAGAGGAGGGGCGGATGAGGCCAGCAGATAGCGAACTCTTTATGTAAGCTTCCTTGGACTCTTTTCGGGCTTAGACAGAATTTATAAGCTTTAGCCAGGTGTAGCCTAGCACCAGAGGGGAATCAGCGGAGGTGATAATATTAAGACGGATCATCTCACTGTGATTACCTGACAAGACTAAATTGACTGGGACTGAGCGGTGAGTTACTTGGGCCAGCAGTCGGCCATCTAAGGTGTTGGCTCTAAATGGATTCCCCAGGGGCTCTAAAGGAATGATTGATCTTAAAGCAAACTCTTTGTCTAAAAAACAATTGTCTGCCCATAAGTCAACAAGTGCCGTAAGGGGAAAATTATGCTGCTGGAAACAAAGAGTGGCAGATCTCTGCATGCACACAGTTGACGGGGATTAAACTGTATTTTGACTGACATCGAGTTCATCCTTTATTGACCCGCAAGTTATCAATGATGAATTTAAAAAAAAAATCCCTGTATTCTTCAGAATGTTCTCCTTCTGAATCTTGTCTCGGGAGTTTTTTCGGTATGGAAGCACCTTTCAGACTTATTGAAATACAAAATGCCTTACGGTCACTTCAAAAGGGAAAATGTCCTGGTCCGGATGGTTTCCCCGTTGAATTCTTCTGCACCTTTGCTGATAAACTTCCCGCTCTCATATTAAACATGTTCAATGAATCTTTCCATTCCGGCACTCTACCACTCACTTTACGCCAGGCCACCATTTCATTCATTAGTTAGAGGGAACACGGAACACAGAGTGTCTTTGTACGCGGACAACCTCTTGCTTTTTGCCTCAGATCCTGACTCCTCTATGCCCATTATTCTATCTTTGCTGAGGGACTTTGGAGATATCTCCGGATACAAACTTAACTTTAACAAGAGTGAGCTTCTTCCGATTAACCCTGCGGCCATGGCCAACCCATTTACTAGTCTGCCTTTTAAGGCTTCCTCGACCAATTTCCAAATATACTATTGGGCAGCAAATGTTCGGTGTTTGTTGTTTTGGTGTGGCTCTCAAGGGGAGAAGCCAAAATGTCTGCAAATAGAGGAATCGTCATGTGCCAAAGGCTCCTTACGTTCTTTCCTCTGCTCTCCACTAAAATTTTCACCTACAGCTGTTTCCAATAATATTGTGGTTCGTAATTCGCTAAAAATATGGGCACAAGTCAAACTCTTTTTGGGTGCTCGCACTCCACCTCTTTCAAATCCACTGCACTGTAACCCTTTATTTCCCCCTTTGCTTGGGGATGCAAGCTTTCTAATCTGGGCAAGACATGGCTTGGACTCTGTGAAGGACTTCTACAGAGAGAGAAAGGTAGCATCTTTTGCCCAGCTGTCCTCACACTTCGACCTGCCAAGAACACATTTTTTTAGGAATTTACAGGCTCGCAAAAACTTTCCCTGCTTCCCTGATATTCCTGTTGCCACTTTGGTGGATTCTGTTCTCAAAGTTGTACCCTCTCGTAAGGGAGCCATATCAAAATTGTACAATATATTGTTTTCTAATTTACATGAACCAACTGATGACATTTGTGGTGCCTGGTCTAGTGATCTTCAGATAGAAATTGACGATGCCATGTGGCAGTCCATTCTGAGGCGGGTACACTCGTCCTCCATCTGCGCACGTCATGCTGTGATTCAATGTAAAATAATTTACAGAGCCCATTGATCTAGAAGCAGATTGGCTCGTATCTACCCGGGGCTTGACCCTAACTGCCCCCAGTGCAAACTAGGGGGCAGTCCAAATGTTACCTATATGTTTTGGTTATGTCCATCTCTGTCCACATTTTGGGAATCAGTGTTTGAGTCCATATCCGCTGTCACATCTGTCAATGTTCAGCCATGTCCTGTGACTGCCCTCTTTGGAGTTTTGTCACAGGATCTTTCTCTTCCAGCCTATTTTGCTAGCTTTGTGGCGTTCTTGACGTTGCTGGCAAGGCGTATTATTTTGACGACGTGGAAGAGCCCTCATCCCCCCACTCATCTCAGATGGATAAAAGATGCACTTTCATTTATGAAACTGGAGAAAATCCGATGCTCTCTGAGTGATTCTGGCGATAAGTTTGATAAGATATGGCAACCATTTCTGCAGCATGTCTCTGCTCTGGGCCGTGACGCATCATGTCGTTTTTGAGTTGAGTTGTTGTTTTTCTTGTTTTTTGTTTGGGTTTTTCCCTTTTTATTTTGGATATTGTATATTGTTTATTTACACCTTGTGGTTCCGTAGTAACCAGTAAAGGCATTCACCTGCCTTCATCCAGCAGTCGTGTTCGAAGGGGGCTCTGCTGGTTGTGGCCCAACTGCATGGGTTCATCAACACGGGCTCCAGGAAGTGTAGAAGTCGAGCCTGAGGCTCGTGATGAGTAGGTCCAGCCGACCTGGGAAACACAGTTGGCTGATGACAGGGAGGTGGTGCGCTGGTACTGACTGTCAACCCTTCTCCTGGCAGCTTTCTGTCAATCGGTCATCGATCTTCATCCGCTTATCCGGGGTCGGGTTGCGGGTGCAGCAGCTCCAGCAGGGGACCCCAAACTTCTCTTTCCTGAGCCACATTAACCAGCTCTGACTGGGGCATCATGAGGCGTTCCCAGACCAGTGTGGAGATATAATCTCTCCACCTAGTCCTGGGACTTCCCCGAGGCCTCCTCCCAGCTGGAACACCTCCCTAGGGAGGCGTCCAGGAGGCATCCTTACCAGATGCCCAAACCACCTCAACTGGCTCCTTTCAACGCAAAGCCCTCTGCTCTGAGCTCCTCGCGGATGGCCAAGCTTCTCACCCTATCTCTAAGGGAGACACCAGCCACCCACCTGAGGAAACCCATTTCGGCCGCTTGTACCCGCAATCTCGTTCTTTCTGTCATGACCCAGCCTTCACCATAGGTCAGGGTAGGAACAAATAGATAGATAGTGTAGACGGTAGATAGAGAGCTTTGCCTTACAGCTCAGCTCTCTTTTCGTCACAACGGTGCAGTAAAGCAAGTGCAATACCGCCCCCACTGCTCTGATACTCCGGCCAATGTCCTGTCTCCCCTCACTCGTGAACAAGACCTCCTTCACTTGGGGTAAGGACTCATTTGGCACTCAGTTGGCACTCCACCGGTTTCCTGCTGAGAACCATGCCTCCTCACCATGGCTACACCTCGATATCCTGTCCATGAATATCACAGGATTGGTGACAAAGCGCAGCCCTGGCGAAGGCCAACCCTCACCTGGAAAGAGCACGACTTACGGCCGAGTACTTTGTACCTTGCCGAGCTCTCGCTTTGGATGTACAGGGTTTGGATAGCCCTGAGAAGGGCCCCCTACTCCCGCAGCACCTCCCACAGTATCTCCCAGGGGACCCGGTCGTACACCTTCTCCAGATGTAGACTGGATGGGTATGCGCCCAAGCCCACTCCAGGATCCTTGTGAGAGTAAAGAGCTGGTCAGTTGTTCCATGACCGGGACGAAAACCGCATTGTTCCTCTTCGATCTGAGGTTCAACTATCAGCCGAACCCTCCATTCCAGTACCCTGGAGTAGACTTTACCGGGGAGGCTGAGAAGTGTGATACCACCTGTAATTGGCACACACTCTCTGGTTGCCCTTTTTGAACAGGGGAACCACCACCCCAGTCTGCCACTCCTTGGGCACCGTACCCGACTTCCAAGCAATGTTAAAGAGATGTGTCATCCAAGACAGCCCCTCCACACCCAAAGCTTTTAGCATTTCTGGGCGGATCTCATCAATCTGCTTTGCCACTGTGGAGGTGTTTGACTACCTCAGTGACTTCTTCCAGGGAAATTGACGAAAAACCCCCATCAGCCTCCTGCTCTGCTTCTACTAGAGAGGGCGGGTCAGTCGGATTTAGGAGTTCCTCAAAGTGTTCCTTCCACCGCCCAATTACCTCCCCAGTTGAGGTCAACAGGGTCCCATCCTTACTGTACACAGATTGGACGGTTCCTCGCTTCCCCCTCCTGAGATGGCGGACAGTTCTCCAGAAGCACTTTGGTGCAGACTGAAAGTCCTTCTCCATGTTTTCTCCGAACTTCTCCCACACCCGCTGTTTCACATGTGCCACAGCAGAGGCTGCAGCCCTTCGCGCCCATTGGTACCTTGCAACCGCCTCTGGAGTCCTCCATGACAACAAGTCCCGGAAGGCATCCTTCTTCAGTCGGACGGCTTCCCTGACCACCGGTGTCCACCATGGTGTTCGAGGGTTACCGCCCCTTAAGGCCACAGCCTCCCCTCTTCCACAGGGATGCCAGAAACGATCTACCGGAGGTTTGAGTTGAAGATCTCATGGACAGGGGCCTCCTCCAGACGTTCCCAGTTCACCAGTACTCCGTGTTACTCCGAATACTGCAAGCACGCATTTCTACTCTGCAGCACCCCTAAGCCAAAATGTCTTTCCACGCACCTGTATACAGGGGTCAGTCGACGCAAGGAAAAGTCACAAAACAGGTTTTCTAGAAAATAGCAGGCCAAGGTGTGTACCACTGGAGATACGCAAACGATCTGGCGAATCTGCCCAGCATGTAGTGTCTAATATAATGTATGTCCTGCACAGACGCCTTTAAGATGTGCAGCTTTATTTACTTCAACAATAGTTTGAATGCTTACTTCATTTATTGCTCTAATACCTAATTTAAAGAATGTTCCTGTGCTTCAGGCCCATGCCAGTCATTAATAAACCTAAACATTATTAACAAGTACTTTGTGTTTCTATTAAGATTTGACCGACTATACCTCCAGTGATTAATCCCTGTCCATTACATCTTACACGTGTTGACAATGCTGACAAGTGATGACGTCACATGAAGGAGGTGTGAAGACAGAGCTCATAAACAATATGTGAGGACAGGCAAACCCTGCAGACCAGCGCTGCCCACATGGAAACAAGACTCCACTCTGTTATCTGTCTGCACAGGGAAAAAGAAAGCCGAAGACTTTGGGTTTATGGTAACTCAGTAGTTATGTTGACAGTGTTAAGGATAAAAACTGGACAAAATAAGTTTGTTTTGTGCTCCAATTTTAATCAATAGGTTTACATTTCTGATGTTGTTAATGTTTCTTTAATATGTCCTACTCAAATCAATTGCAGACAAACATCACTGTTGAACTGCAGTATCAGGGGTTTCTGGAAATAGTGTTCTTTACCATTCTGACTACAGTGGCATGTTGTGTGTTTCTCTTCATTAATGTGACCTTGTTATTCACCTTGAGGAGTAAACCAGTGTTTTGTGACACCTCTCGTTACATTCTGCTGTTTAACCTCCTTCTTGCAGACTCTGTACTGATGGCAGAGAGTCAGTTAATGTACATAATGGCTGCTTGTAAAATAACAATGACATATCCTGTGTGTGGCTTTCTCAACATGCTTGGTTATCTCACAAATGAAATCTCTCCTCTCACACTGGTGGTGATGTGTCTGGAGAGATTTGTAGCTGTGTGTTACCCACTGAGGCACGCTGCCATCATCACCGTCAGAAACACAGGGGTGGCTGTTTGTGTTGTTTGGGCCTTCAGTTCACTCAGTGTTTTTATCCAAGTTCTTCTAATGTTAAAATTTCCATTTGCAGAGCTGGAGAGTCTGCAGATGAGAGATTTTTGTGGCAAAGACAAAATGATGTTTGATCCAGTAGCTGCTGATTACGACAAAGCCTACAATTGTTTTCTGTTTGTATTAGCTGGCGTGGCAGTCATTTCCTCCTATATTGGTGTGATGATAGCAGCCAGGTCGGCCTCCACAGACAAAGCTTCAGCCCGTAAGGCTTGTAACACACTGCTGCTGCATCTGGTGCAGCTGGGCCTCTGTCTCTCCTCAACTGTGTACAATCCATTGCTTATCGTTATCTTTGAAAATCTAGACGGGCCCATGTTTTTGCGCATCCAGAATATTATTTATATTTGTACTATCATGCTTCCAAGATGTCTGAGTGCTCTCATCTATGGTCTCAGAGACCAGACCATCAGACCCGTCCTCATGTACAATCTCTGCTGTCAGAGATTCTCACCTTTGCTCTCAGTTGTCCAAACCAAAGCTAAAATCAGCGAACTTGTCACTTAATTGATTCTTCTTAAAATATCTCCTTTAATTCAACTTAATAGAGTATGTATAACACTGTTGGCGTATAAAGTATTTCAAGTTAAAGGAGTCATCTCACAAGACAATATGTATTTATATAATACATATACGTTTTTGCTAAAGTCAACTTATAAACTTATGTGGCTGTGCAGTTTCTAAAACGCATGGTTTAATCACCATTAAAATAATGTGTAATCATGATTTGTGATAGTGTGCTTCAGTATTGACAGAAGAAATGTATTTTACTCTTGCTCTTACTCACTATCAGACAGTCAGTATACAATAAGGTTTATTCGCTGTAAAGTGTAATTATGTGTATTGCTAAATCAACTTATAATGTGCTGCTCAGCATATATGTTATATGATAATGATTATAATGTACTTCAAGTGATTGGAAATATGAAAATGTTCTGGAAATGCTTTATGTACTGTTATTTGGAAAACACAGTGAGAATGATTGAAGATAACCTTTAGTTTAACACCTGGAGACGTCATGGAAAGTATAACAACAAAGTCTGACCCATAGAAGTAATGTTGAACTTTAGAGGTATGTGGGCAAGATGTGAACTGTTTTCAAATGTCAAAAGGAAGTCATTTGTGTAGTGCTCTGTGAAAAGGCAGGAACCCAGACATGCACAGGTTTTGAAATATACCTGATCACGCACAACAGCAAAAAATAAATCACAGAATACTTATACTAATACAAGAGTGGAGATATTAGGACATCCAGTCAGAAAAGGACATAGATGGACACTAGAGATCAACCAATCCCAGCTAACGTGGGTCATTAGAAGTACTGTTACATCCTGTCTGTTTCCTTATATAATAATAATAATAATAATCTTTTTTTATAGAGTGCTTTTCAAAAACCATGTTACAAGTGCAAAGATAATAAAACACATCAAACAGATGACAAGATATGTGATTAAAGCAAGTAAACACTTGTTTTAAGGAGGGACCTGATTTCCTCAGGCAGGCTGTTCCAGAGCTTTGCGGCCCTGACAGCAAACTGTCCCCTTTAGTTTATAGAGACTCTAGAACAGACAGCAGACCTCTGCCCAAAAATCTCAAGCTTTGTGCTGTTACGTATGGGACTAAAAGGTCAGAGATATAACAGGGAGAGAGGCCATGAAGAGCTTTAAAAGTAATCAATAACATTTTAAAGTCAGTTATTCTAAAACATGCTGGGAGCCAGTGTAATGAAGCTTAAAAGGGGTGATGTGATCATATTTCTTCGTTCTGGTTAAAAGCCTGGCAGCTGAGTTCTGGACAGTCTGGAGTTGATCAAAAGATTTGAGTAAAGCAAGTAAAGAGGCTGTTGCAATAATCCAGGCGTGAGATTCAGGCGTGTAACCTGGTCTCATGTTTTTCTTTTCAAGTGACTGTATTTCTGTCAGAGGTAACACGTATGTTGCCAATGAAGCCGAAGAAAACAGATAAAAAAACAAAAGTGTTGTTAGGTGTATGTTCAACTGGACCCAAAAGAGACAGATAATTCAATTCACTTCATTTCAATTTTATTTATATAGCGCCAAGAGAGGAACAGAGAGAAAAAGAGAGGGATGGAAGGAGAGAGAGAGAGAGAGAGAGGGGAGGGAGCCAGCCTACACAATATCCACACAGAGGTACAGACAGTGAAGGTAATGTTGCTATAGACTAAATGAAAAATGGTACAGATATTTATAGTAGTGTTAATGGTAACAGTCATAATGTTAATGATTATAATAACAATAATAACAATAGGACTAGTAACAATAGTCGTTGCAGCAGAGGGTGTCGAGCAGGAACACGGGGGCAGCAGGTGACCCGCAACCACAGATCCAGACTCCACAGCTCCAGAGCCAGAAAACCTGCAGGAAGTGATAGGAGGAGAGAGGAGAGAGACGAGAAAGCGCAAGACTACCAGAAAGGGGAGAAGTTGTGTTAGTAACATGCAATAATGGGATGAGGTTGCATACAGAGGGAGAGAAAGTAGAGGAGAGAGGAGCTCAGTGCATCATGGGAAGTCCCCAGCAGTCTAGGCCTATAGCAGTAAAAGTAGTAGCCATAAGTATAAGCTTTATCAAAGAGGAAAGTCTTCAGCCTACTCTTAAATGTGGAGATGGTGTCTGCCTCCTGAACCCAAACTGGAACCTGGTTCCACAGGAAAGGAGCTTGATAGCTGAACGCTCTGGCTCCTAGTCTACTTTTAGAGACATGTCATCACTGGTCAGATTTGGCAGAGGTCCAGAGAAAACCAACATTGTTTTTGCATATGTACACACCGACTCAACATTAATCTTAGTGACCTCCGATTGGCGTAACCGGGAGTCATTACCGCCGACGTGAATAACAAGCTTACTGTATTTACGTTTATCCTTAGCCAGCAGTTTCAAATAAGACTCAATGTCGCCCGCTCTGGCCCCAGGGATGCACTTAACTATGGCCGCTGGCTTCGCTAACTTCACGTTTCTCAAAATGGAGCTGCCAATGATCAGAGTTGGTTTCTCAGCGGGTGTGTCGCTGAGTGGGGAAAATCTGTTAGAAACGTGAACAGGTTGATGATGCCCCGTTGACTTTGAATGCTTACGACTATTCCTCCTTCGGACAGTCACCCAGCCCCCCCCCCTCCTTCCTGGCTGCACAGGGGATGCCGGAGGACGGCTACCAGAGGCTAACTCACGCCGTTTCACACCGACTACCGGGGACTGGCTAGCTACAGTAGCTAAAGACTGATCTACCAAGGTGCGGAGCTGGACTTCTAAATCACTGAGCCTCGTCTCCATGTCTATAAATAAACTACACTTATTACACGTACCATTACCGCTAAAGGAGGCAGAGGAGTAACTGAACATCTGACATACCGAGCAGGACAAAGTAGGAGAGAGAGAGGGAGAAGGAGAAGCCTTCACTTCACACATCGCAGGGCCACACATAGACGAACAACCACTCACGCTCACACCTAAGGACAATTTAGGGTCGCCAATTAACCTAGACTGCATGTCTTTGGATGGTGGGAGGAAGCCGGAGCACCCAGAGAGAACCCACGCAGACACGACCCACGACCTTCTTGCTGTGAGGCGACAGTGCTAACCACTGCACCACCATGCCGCCCGCAAGTCCATCAATATGTCTATATTGTTTTGTTCATAGTATGTATATTAGTGTTGTCTATACTGTAGTTTGTGTCTGATTTTATTTTATTATTGTGTTATGGTAATTTTGTATGAGTAAGCACATCATGAGAAATGAAACAATCCTGAGTCAAATTCCTCGTATGTGTACACATACCTGGCAATAAAACTGATTCTGTTTCTGGTGAGCGGTCTGCACCGTATTCTATTCTCATCAGTGTATGAATGTGTGTGACTGTTTTAGCCCCTTGGCTCTGACACCATGACCATGTTGGTTAATAAATAATAATCTTCAACCTTAAAGTGCCTTGTTTCTGTCTGCCTTTACTTGTAGACCTCAGTGGAAAAAATGTACTTCCATGATTCTGAAAAGCATCAGCTATACACGTAATGTAAAATGTCCCGGCACAGGTACTGCCACAGGAATGATTTGCTGTTGTGTCCAAGGGAATTCATTAACACGAATCCTATACCAGCTATTTACAGGCCAAAAAAATATTCAAAGTGCCTGGATTGTCAACACCTAAGAAAGGTTGCGGGAATCCCAGTAAGTTTGACTTTCTCGCAGTGTCTCATTCATTGACTGCCCAGCATGTAGTGTCTAATATAATGTAGGTCCTGCACAGACGCCTTTAAGATGTGCAGCTTTATTTACTACAACAATAGTTTGAATGCTTATTTCATTTATTGCTCTAATACCTAATTTAAAGAATGTTCCTGTGCTTCAGGCCCATGTCAGTCATTAATAAACCTAAACATTATTAACAAGTACTTTGTGTTTCTCTTAAGACTTGACCGACTATACCTCCAGTGATTAATCCCTGTCCATTACATCTTACACATGTTGATGGTGCTGACAAGTGATGACGTCACATGAAGGAGGTGTGAAGACAGAGCTCATAAACAATATGTGAGGACAGGCAAACCCTGCAGACCAGCACTGCCCACATGGAAACAAGACTCCACTCTGTTATCTGTCTGCACAGGGAAAAAGAAAGCCGAAGACTTTGGGTTTATGGTAACTCAGTAGTCATGTTGACAGTGTTAAGGATAAAAACTGGACAAAATAAGTTTGTTTTGTGCTCCAATTTTAATCAATAGGTTTACATTTCTGATGTTGTTAATGTTTCTTTAATATGTCCTACTCAAATCAATCACAGACGAACATCAGTGTTGAACTGCAGTATCAGGGGTTTCTGGAAATAGTGCTGCTTTCCATTGTGACTACAGTGCCATGTTGTGTGTTTCTCTTCATTAATGTGACCTTGTTATTCACCTTGAGGAGTAAACCAGTGTTTTGTGAGACCTCTCGTTACATTCTGCTGTTTAACCTCCTCCTTGTAGACACTTTACTGATGGCAGAGGGTCAATTAATGTACATAATGGCTGCTTGGAATATAACAATGAAATATCCTGTGTGTGGCTTTCTCAACATGCTTGCTTATTACATAAATGAAATCTCTCCTCTCACACTGGTGGTGATGTGTCTGGAGAGATTTGTAGCTGTGTGTTACCCACTGAGGCACGCTGCCATCATCACCGTCAGAAACACAGGGGTGGCTGTTTGTGTTGTTTGGGCCTTCAGTTCACTCAGTGTTTTTATCCAAGTTCTTCTAATGTTAAAATTTCCATTTGCAGAGCTGGAGAGTCTGCAGATGAGAGATTTTTGTGGCAAAGACAAAATGATGTTTGATCCAGTAGCTGCTGATTACGACAAAGCCTACAATTGTTTTCTGTTTGTATTAGCTGGTGTGGCAGTCATTTCCTCCTATATTGGTGTGATGATAGCAGCCAGGTCGGCCTCCACAGACAAAGCTTCAGCCCATAAGGCTCGTAACACACTGCTGCTGCATCTGGTGCAGCTGGGCCTCAGTCTCTCCTCAACTGTGTACAATCCCTTGCTTGTCATTATCGCTGAAAATCTAGACGGGCTCATGTTTTTGCGCATCCAGAATATTATTTACATTTGTACAATCATGTTTCCCAGATGTCTGAGTGCTCTCATCTATGGTCTCAGAGACCAGACCATCAGACCCGTCCTCATGTACAATCTCTGCTGTCAGAGATTCTCACCTTTGCTCTCAGTCGTCCAAACCAAGGCTAAAATCAGCAAACTTTTTGGAGTGGCCTATTATTGTGGCCAGCATAAAGCACACCTGTGCAATCCCCAGTCTGTCTGATCAGCATCTTGATATGCCACACCTGTGAGGTGGATGGATTATCTCAGCAAAGGAGAAGTGCTCACTAACACAGATTTTGACAGATTCGTGAACAATATTTGAGATAAATAGGCCTTTTGTGTACATAGAGAAAGTTAGCTCTTTTAGTTCAGTTCATGATGAATGGGGGTAAAAACAAAAGTGTTGCGTTTATAACTTTGCTTAGTGTACATTGCTAAAGTCATCTTATAAATGGTATATAATGTTGCAGTGTAGTTGCTAAAATGCATTGGCTTAATCTCCATTATAATAATGTTGTGTAATCATGTTTTGTAATGGTGTGCTTCAGTATTGACACTCTTGCTATTACTCTTTTGTCTCTTACTTACTTATTTTTTTTTTACTCTATCCGGCAGTCATTATATATTAAAGTGTATTCGCTGTAAAGTGTAATTATATATTGCTAAATCATTTATAATGTGCTGCTTCAGTATATACAGTGGGGGAAAAAAGTATTTGACCCCTTGCTGATTTTGCAGGTTTGCCCACTTACAAAGAATGCAACAATCTACCTCTATTTTAATCATATGTACATTCTAACAGTGAAAGACAGAATCCCAAAGAAAATTCCAGAAAATCACATCATATGAATTTATAAAAATTGATAACCATCTGATGAGGAAAAACAAGTATATGACCCCCTACCAAACAGCAAGTATTCTGGCTCCTACAAGCCAGTTAGTCTTTCTTCAAGACACAGCCCCAATCCCAACCAATTATCTACATCAAATACACCTGCCTCACCTCATTACCTGTATAAAAGACACCTGTCAACACCCAAACAACCAGCATCCAACATCACCACCATGGGCAAGACCAAAGAGCTTTCTACGGACATCAGGGACAAGATTGTTGATCTGCACAAGGCTGGGATGGGCTACAAGAGAATCGGAAAGCAACTTGGAGAGAAAAGATCAACTGTCGGTGCAGTTATCAGGAAATGGAAGAAGCACCAC